CACTGCCCCAGACTGTGAGGTCCACAGTCTGGGTCTGGGTCTGGACCGTGGACTGTGACCTTACAGCCCACAGTCCACAGTCCACGGTCCAGACCCAGACTGTGAGGTCCAGGGACCCCCCCCTGGTAAAGACCTCTAACCCAGACTTGGGGGTGAATCGGTTCCGGGCGTCCTCACCGAGTCGGTACTCCACGCTCACCACCACAGTGTGCGTGAGGTTACTGACGAAGCGTCCGTCGTACAGAGGTTTGGAGGCAGAGCCTGCGATGAAGTCTCCTCCGTGGACCCACAGCAGCACCGGCAGCGGTCTCTGCAGCGGAGAGCGGAAGTCCACGTCCAGGGGGACGAAGACGTTCAGGTAGAGACAGTCCTCACTGACCTTCACGCACACAGAGAAGAAGACGACCAGGGTCATTAGACACGGAGTCACCGACACTCACCGTCTGTCTCTGTCTGTTGTCCTCTCTGCATTAACCACTGTTTTAAGTTGGACCATCGTCTCGTCTTACTTTCTGAGGACATTCGTCTCTGGCCGGTCCGGTGCAGGCCTGCATACACGCCGCCCGAGGGAAGGACGCGTCGTAGACATGAGGCCAGGGAGTCACCGGTCTGGGGGGCTTCCATCGGTAGGCCCCAGTGGGGGGGTCTGCGTACGGTACCCCATAGAAGACATGGGCTCTGTCCACAGTCGTCCCCTGGATCTGACCGTCTTTGGTCAGAACCAAAGGTCCAGGAGCTCTGGTGGTGTCCCGACCCACCTCCAGGGGGCTCCACTCCCTTATGGAGTTCATCTCAAACCGTCGGTCGTTGACGAACGGCTCGTCCCGTAGCAGCCCGCGCTGGACCGTTCTCAGGAGGCTCACCAGGTCCACGTCCTTCTTCATGTCCTCTCCAGAGGAGGACGCAAAACCCAGTGACCAGAACAGCACAAGTAAAAGGGTCCGGTTCTCCATACTGCGTCAGAACCCTACAGTACTTTAAAGTCCTACTACAGTACTACAGTACTACAGTACTCCCTAAGACGCCGCTGCTCAGGTCACGACTGGAGCCGCGGTCCCCACCGTGCTGGTCGCGAGGGCTGTCCTTGTGACTCCAATTTGTCCAGTTAGTGGTTTAACTGATCAGACAGTGACGTCTGTGTCTGTTGGACACAGTGTCGCTGATTAACAACGACTGGTCTTCACTTAATGGAACTGAGTGGAATCAGAAAGTCAGGAAAAGAAAAAAAAAACCCCCGGATCAAATAGAAAGAAAACCTTTGTAAAGTTTCCATAAGTTCAACTGCTTCCCATTCAACATTGATCGATCGCCCGAGGCGCCAAAAAAGCTGGCACCGCCACTGTGATGATGACGAGTCGGTGACGTCAGAGGGATCGACGCACACCTGCCGTTAATTATCAGCGCCTCCTCCAGATCGTCGGTTTTTTGATTGTAAAAAAACATAAAGTAACTCCTTTAGGTGGATTTAAAAGACAATGTAAGACAGAAAAAAAACACACTTTTAACTGTTTCGTTCGTAGAGTTGACCGTAAATCGTACGAATTTTCCAACTTGTTTTTCGATTGTTGCAGGAACGCTGTCGAATTTTCCTTCGTCTTTTTCACGTTGGCGCCTCTAACTTCAGGGTTTGGTGAGTGCTGGAGAAAAGCGGTTTAAACCGGTGTAGACTGGATTTAAACTGCCGTTCAACGTCTGTCTGTTTGTCTGTTTGTTGTTCTTTTCAGGGAGACTGGCCGACATTTCCTTCTCGTTATGTTGGATGAGCAGAAACAACGCTTTGGAGAGGTGACATTTTAAAAAGAATTCGTATTAATTAACTACTTTTTCTGGTTCTGGTTACATCAGAACGCATTCAAATAATTGTACGAATTACACACGATGTCAACGAAATTTTTATAATTTCGGTTTCACTCCAAAAATGTGAAGTTTCAGTGTTTAAATAAATCGTAGTTTTTTTTAACAATGAACATACGTCACAAATAAAAACGTATTATGTAACTTGAAGATAATTGATTGGGTTCTGTTGGTGTGACTGTATTTTTATTTTGTTTTTTTTCGTGTCACCAATGACTGAGGTTTAATCACTGCTCTGTTCACATTCAGACAAAGTGGAAACATTTTGCTCAATGGCACATCGGTGGCCTCCATCATGAAGCTGGATAAAGTGGCCTCGCTGACGGTGCATCCAGGTGTAGAAAACAGGCTCACCCTGAAATATGGGAACGCGACCAACGCGTGGACCATAACGATCGCTCCAAGTAACTGTTCCAGCTTCGTCTTTAAACTCACACTTCAAGGTCCAGTGGAACAGGAACTGGTCAGAGATGCTAGTCATAACTGAAGCTAACCAGGTGACGACCACCTTCACTGACCAGAGGAAGGTCACTCCTGGTTAACTCCTAGTTAACCCATGTTTGGTTTTACTCTAACTCTGTCCTGTTTCACACACTGGACCTTGAAGTGAAGCAGTTTTTTTTTTTTTTTTTTTAAAGCGTAATAAAAATTCTGAGCTGATTTTTATCTCAAAAGGCAAAAGGTTCAATAAAATCCAGGGTCTGCCGCCGCCGCAGAAAGACGCTACGATTTACACCAAGGTACGTTTGACGTCACACCAGCAGGTACTGGGTTCTCAAACCATGGTACGTGTACTTTTGGTGTTACCTTTGGCTCCATCTGGTGGTACATGGAGGAAGTTTCCAAAATGCTGTATTTTAATGTTGGATATACAGGTGGTACTGATACTGCGCTGGAGAAGTACTTCCAGTATCTGTGTATTCATTCACATTAAAAATCTTCTCCTCAGAGGATTTTGGACTCTCTGGCGCCCTCTGATGTGTTTGCATGTGAAAACAACACTGTGTTCTTCTATCAAGACGAGGAGTTCTTTCTGGCCACCGGTGAGATGAGGTTTTATGGTGATCCTGTCGTCCTGGTCGTACGGCTGACCAATCAGAGCCACATGTTTTACAGGCCACACCCTCCGTCTCCCTCTACGGCTGGAGTCCAGAACTACATCGATGTTGCTGCTTTCCTGGGCAGTGAACGGCGGAGTCGCCGCCGACAGTCACACGGTCACGTTGTACCGCGCTGACCCCGACCGGTTCACGGCCATCGGTGTGGACTCGACCGCCGACGACCGCTACGACTTCACGTCGCTGCAGTCCTGCAGTCTGTACGTGGTCTGTGTGGAGATCGCAGCCACTCGGACCTTCACCTGTCTTCCTGCCATAACAGGTACCAGAGTACACGCCTGGTACTACTGACATGAAGTATGTCAAGTATTTGTCTTGTTTCACTCTCAGGTGGTTCACAATGTGGTACATGGGCCCTGATGTGGTACGTGGGCCCTGACTAGGAGTGTATGTTGGCAAGAATCTGGTGATACAGGGTCAACAATACACTCTGATATATATATATATATATGTGTGTGTGTGTGTATATATGTATATATATATGTGTATATATGTGTATATATATATACATATATATGTATATATATACATATGTGTGTATATATACATATATATGGTTATATGTATATATATGTATATATGTGTATATATATGTTTATATGTATATATATGTACACATATATGTGTATATATATACATGTATGTATATATATATATATGTTTATGTGTATATATGTATGTGTTTGTATAAATATATACACTGTGATTTGTGTCACAATATATATGTATCTATATGGGTGTATAGGTATATATGTGTGTGTACATATATGTATATATACACATCCTGTGAGATATGTATCACAGTATATGTATTTGCATATAATTGTATGAACCAACTCCATGAATATTAATGTATTACTGCAGTACTGTAGGATATCAACACAGTATCGTGAAACTACATATCGCGATACTTCACTGTCTCTGTATTTTCTCTGGTCTCTGACTTGTTCGTCCTCAGACCCAGATGTCCCGCAGGACTTGAACGTCTCGTCCTGGAACAGCAGCAGCGTGTCGTTGACCTGGGGTCATGAGAACTCCAGACTCTCCCTCTTTCTCCTCACCATATTCTACCTCAACGGCACAGACCAGGTGACGGAGGAGGTCTGCTTCTGGCTCAAAGACCACGCCTCCTCCTTCACCTGGTCTGACGTCCAGCCCTGCACCAGGGTCAGGTTTGGTCTGCAGTCCGTCTGCCAGTCGGGGGTGGAGTCACGCTACAGCGACATGGTCATGAATGATGGGAACTCTGGTAAGAAGACGGTTTAAATGATGTCATCACCCCCCCCCCCCGACCACTCCCCCCCACTGATGAATCCTTGACCCCGTCCTCAGTCCACTCCAGAATCCAGGCCTTGCGTCAGACATCGTTCGGTCCTGACAACTACACCCTGGAGTGGGTGGTGGGCAACGCCTCGTCCATCTCAAAGTTCAGAGTTTTCCACGATGGCGTCGTCCAGGGCGTCACGCTGCTGACCAACTACAGCGTCGAGGGGCTGTCGCCGTGTCAACGATACCAGGCCAGGGTGGAGGCGCTGTGTGGAGCGGACGTAGTCATGAGTGTGAAGAGCATCAGAGCACACACAGGTGACGGAGTTGACTGACGGAACAGGAAGTGGAGTCAGCTGTGACTGGTCGGTTCTGTTCAACCACGGTTCTGTGTGTGTGTGTGTGTGTGTGTGTGTGTCTCTGTGTGTGTGTCTGTGTGTGTGTGTGTGTGTGTGTGTCTCTGTGTGTGTGTCTGTGTGTGTGTGTGTGTGTGTGTGTGTCTCTGTGTGTGTGTCTGTGTGTGTGTGTGTGTGTGTGTGTGTGTGTCTGTGTGTGTCTCTGTGTGTGTCTCTGTGTGTGTGTGTGGGTGTGTGTGTGTCTGTGTGTGTGTCTGTGTGTGTCTCTGTGTGTGTCTCTGTGTGTGTGTGTGGGTGTGTGTGTGTCTGTGTGTGTGTCTGTGTGTGTCTCTGTGTGTCTGTGTGTGTGTGTGTCTGTGTGTGTGTGTGTGTGTGTGTGTCTCTGTGTGTGTGTGTGTGTGTGTGTGTCCAGGACCTCGTGGTGTGTCTGAACTCAGGTACCGCTCCAACGACTCCACCGTCCTGTGGACTCCCAGCACCGCGCACCAATCAGCCGTGGCCTTCCTTTACGAGCTGTCCCTGAAGAACGGCACCCCCATCAGGAGCAGCAGGGTCACTGACACGGAGCTGCAGCTCCCCGGTCTGGACGAAGGGAAGAGCTACGTGCTGGACGTGTGGGAGGAATGTGACGGAGAGTGGGAGTCTGAACACACACAGCTGTGTTTTGAGGGCGCCAACGCCACCTTTGGGTTCCTCCTGAGAACTGCAGGATCTGCCCAGGACCTCGGTCAGTTTTCATCAGATGTTTGAGGAAATGTTGGCTACACTTCACTGACGGTTCTCCTCTGGTCTGGGTCTGTAGACATGGACCTGGAGTTCCTCAGCACGGGCCTCCCCGTGGTGGTGCCGTGGTCGCTGCCAGAAGACGCCCACAACGACCAATCACAGTCCAGACAGCTGATGGAGAAGATCTTTAAAGATAAGGCACGTGGACCTTTCCTGGTCACATCAGTGACCACAGACGTCAGATGGTTTTCTGACTTTTTTTTTTGTTTTTTAATTTAAAACTTATTCATCAAAGTAATTATTTTTTTCTGTTTTTTTTTCTCCTCTTCAGATACAGGAGTTACTGAGTGACTCTGAACAGCCTGTCCATGTGGAGCTGGTCTCACTTCAACCTGCGGACGAACCAAACAAGACGACCGCGGTCCTCGTGGCCTTTGATGCTTTGACCTTTGAAGAGAACGTTCCACTTCCTGTGGAGGAGCAGCTGGATTTCATTCACTCTCTGAATGAGACCGACTTCTCTGTCAGGGACGGGGTCCTTTACTGGGACGGTGGGTGATGGAGGGGAGGGGTCGGGGGGGTGACTTCCTGTCTCCAGTTCATTGATAATGGCCTCGTGTGTGTGTGTGTCAGGTCCTGATATGTGCCCCCCCGTGACCCCCCCCCTGTGTCCTGGTAACTCTTTGTGCATCAACACTCTGGGTTCCTTCACGTGTGTTTGCAAACACGGATACTACGACGTGAGTCGTGTCGTCGAGCCGCAGGTTCCTTCAAAGCTCATCTGCAACGGTACCGTACCGGTGTTCACGTTTCACACCCCAGTGGCCATCGGTGGAACTGCAGTAGTCACCACATGTTGAACCGTTCCTTCTGCTTCTCAACGTTCTCTCCTCCAGAGAACGGACTCTTCAGCCACTGTCTGGAGAAGCTGATGATCGGAGGAATAGCCAAGCCGTACCTGACGTCCTACATCGGAGGAGAGGTTGAAGTCCGACTGAATGACGGGCGCTGCCAGGTGGAGGAGAGTGACCTGCTCTACTACTTCCACACGTCACGAAAGTCGTCTGAGTGTGGAACGGAGCGGAGGGTGAGTGACGACGTACACCAGGTCATGAAAGGTCAGAGGTCAACGTTTATAAGAGAAAAGAGAAATAATTTTTTCACCCGATCAGTATTTTCTAACACTTATTTTTTTTACTAATTTATAAAAACGTATACAGTTTAGGGACGGTGTGGTTGGACTGTGACCCAGTTTTCTGGTCCATTTCTGTTTTGGTGTGGTTGGACTGTGACCCAGTTTTCTTGTTCATTTCTCTCCGTGTTTTTTTTTTTTTTTTTTTCCAGGTGAATAAAACTCATTTTGAATATCAAAACTCTTTGACCGTGTCGCTGACCAAGAAGCAGAAAATCAGTCGTCGGGATCTGAAGGTCGTCTGGAGATGTGTTTATCCTCGACATTACATCCGCAACGCTCACGTTAGCATGGATATGGAGTGGTGAGTGTTTCAGACCTGGTGGTCAGTCAGTGTCAGTGGTCAGTCAGTGTCAGGTCAGTGTCACAGTCAGTGTCAGTGGTCAGTCAGTGTCAGTGGTCAGTCAGTGGTCAGTGGTCAGTGTTTTTCCTCCTCCTGACGTGGTCTCTCTCTCCGTGGCAGGCTCTCCTCCCTCTCCTTCGTCCAGTTCAACTCCTCGCTGCAGCTGGGTCTGACCATGAGTCTGTACAAGGATGGGTCGTACAACCAGAGCTACACCGACGTCATCTCCCTGGAACAGGACGACATACTGTACCTGCAGGTGGCGCTGCAGACCAACAATTCCTTTGCGTCAGATGTTTTACTGCAGGTGGAGTCGTGCTGGGCCACGGAGAGTCCTGACCCCCAGGATCCTGTCCAGGGAGTCTTCCTTCAGGACGGGTATTTGTCAAACTTAGTCTTGTCGTCTGTCGACCTTTGACCTGTGTCCACTGTAAAAACCCACTCTTCATGACTGGAGCTAGGCCAAGGTCAGAGGTCATCTGCAGCCTCTTCTTAGTAGTTGTTGTTCTTTTTTTTGAAGCTGTCCCATCGACCAGACGTTCTACTGGATCTCAGTCAATGGTCAAGGTCAGAGCAGCAGGTTTTCTATTGAGATGTTTACGCTGCCCAAAGGACTGGCCCTCTACATCCACTGTCTGGCCAACATCTGTGGACACGACAGGGACTGCACCAAGGTGAGCCGTCCACACACACACACACACACCTGGTGTCCACACACACCTGTCCACCCCTGGTGTCCACTCCAGGTGTCCACTCCTGACCCTCGATGTGGACCATACTGTGTACATTAATACTTTTGTGCAGATGATTGAAGTTTCTGGACGTGTCGTTTCAGAATTGCAGCGTCCAACAGCGAACTAAGAGGTCAATGAGTCCAACGGACGGAAAAGAAGAACGCGCTGCCGTGGTGTCAGCTGGACCGTTACTGGTCCACACAAGAACTCAGCCGTCGCACTGTGAGTTTGGAGATTCAGGACGTTGTCTGTCGTTGTCTGTCGTTGTCTGTCAGTTGTCTGTTACGTTGTCCACCCTGAGAACAGAACTGACCAAACAGTACCACACCACTCTGTCTCCTCAGGGCCAGAACGCGTGAACATGATCTGGATCGTGGCTGGAGCCGTTGGACTTCTGACCGCCGCTGTTCTGACGGTCAGCGCGGCCAAAGCCATCATGACTTACTACGAACGGCTGCAGCTGCAGTAACGTCTGTGATGTCAGTACCTGCTCACGTCTGTGTACATCCACAGAGTACTGCAGTAGTACTCTGACTCCAGAGTTCTTCTCTCTGAAGTTCACTGTGAACCTCAACGTCTCGTCTTCATGACGTCCAGACGTTTACTGTCGTGTGATTGGCCGTTGTACTTTGTGTTTTGGATGTACTTCATGGGTACTTTGGTGTGTATTTTATGCTCTAGCTATTTTACTTTTCCACACTTACAAAAAAAACCCAATTCTTGTGAGTGGGTGTGGCATGAAGAAATGAAAAACAATGGTCAAAAAAAAAAAGACAATTACCTTAAGTTAAAGGTGAAAATATAAGTTGTTATAATAGAACAAAGATAACTGTGGTTAATGTTTATATAAGTTGTTATAATAGAACAAAGATAATTGTGGTTAATGTTTTAAGTGTTAGTAATTTGTCATATTGTACAACATTAATGTTTCTTTTCTATTTCAACTGCACTTCGTGACCAACATGTATTTGAATAAAACCAGGTTCATTGAACGCGTCTTTGATACCGTTTATTGTCTGGTATTACTGTGTTTCTTTAAGTATTTGAAGTATGTGTCATTTCACGGTGCAGTACTACAGTGTGCAGTATTAGAATAGAGAGTTTAAATATAACTTCAAACTATGAGTTTTTCCCGGAATAATAAAATACTTCGTCACCAGTTTCTTAAAAGTTGGTTTGTAACACATCCACTTTTGTCCTCTGAGTGGCGTTATAGGACATTTTTAACGTTTGGCCAACAGGAACATGTTTGGAGACGTCACTTCCGCTGCTGGAAATCATGGCGTCGTCCACAGTGGAAGACGGCGTGAGCGGACAGAAGAGTGGAAAAACATCGAAAAAGACACAGAACGAAGGTCGGTGAATGAACGGCTGTGAACTAGTGTTAACTACAGTTAACTAGTGTTAACCAGAGTTAACCTGGAAGTGACGGTTGACCGAGTGACGTCTGTTAGTCCGAACAAACACGGAGGAAAAGACGACAGCATGCAGTGAAGTTAAAGCAGCAGCCGAGCAAAAACACCGAGTCCGATAGAAACTAAAATAAAAGTCCGGTCTGAAGTAGTGACTGTTCCGTAACAACACGTCAAGTTCAGAAATATAAGAAGTGACTTTAACGGAGAAAATAGTTTAATGTAGCATTTGTTGTCGTTATTAAAGTGACTTTAACGGAGAAAATAGTTTAGTGTAGCATTTGTTGTCGTTATTATATGTATTTATTTACTTCCGTTCACGTTCTCATATCGGTTGTTGTTGGTTAATTGTTTCGTCTTAGAACTATTTAAGCTCCTGTAGATGCAACGAACATAAATATTTATTTAATTTACATTTGTTAAACCTGTATGAAAAGGTTTTACTGCGGTCTTTTGGCTTCAGTCGACATTTTCACCTGTTTGTATCATTGGTGTAAATTTCTAAATGTTTCATAGTGAAGTAAAAAACAAACTTTTTTTTTTTTTCCTCCAGTGGATGAATCCCAGCTGCTGACCGTTCCTGATGGCTGGAAGGAGCCGTCGTTCAGCAGAGAGGACA